AAAAAAAAAAGAAGGAGCCTGAACTAAATCAAAGACTGAGATTCGAATTCTGGCCGTGCCGTAAATTCACTGGGTGTGCTTGGGTAAACCAGAACTGTTATAGGCTTCAGTTTTCTGCAAATTGAACAGTAAGACTGGATAATCTTGGAGGGGGCATATTAATAAAGACTCATTGTTAAAAATGAAAAAACTGCCCTACCGGTTTGGCTCAATGGGTAGAGCATTGGCCTGTGGACTCAAGGGTTCCAGGTTCGATTCTGGTCAAGGGCACATGCCTGGGTTTCAGGCTCGATCCCTGGTAGGGGGCGTGCAGGAGGCAGCCAATCAAAGATTCTCATCATTCATGTTTCTATCTCTCTCTCCCTTCCTCTTTGAAATCAATAAACACACACACACACACACACATGTGTGTGTGTGTGTGTGTGTGTGTGTGTTTTAAAAAAAGGTGAAAAAAACCTCAACTCATATTCACTTGAGCAAATCCAGGAGTTTTTTGGTTTTTGTAATTGAATGGTCCAGGGCAAGTTCTCGCAGATGGTATAACAGAAAAATATACTGGTGTCCCAAAAAATGTATACATGCCCGGCCAGCATTGCTCAATGGTTGAGTGTTGACCCATGAACCAGGAGATCTTGGTTCTCAGCCAGGGTACACGCCTGGGTTTTGGGCTCGATCCCTAGTTGAGAGAGTGCAGGAAGCAGCTGATCAATGATTCTCTCTCATCATTGATGTCTTTATCTCTCTCTCTCTCCCTCTCCCTTCAACTCTGAAATCAATAAAAATATAAAAACATAAATACACATTTTGAATAATTAGTCATTCCAATGGGTTAAATCTGAAAAGAAGCATCAATTGAGCTATCAAAAATGTATGTGACACTGTGTGTGTGTGTGTTTTGGATTCAGGTTGTGTCACTAACTGGCTAGGTAACTCTGAATAAGTTACCTTAGTTTACTCATTTAAAAACTGGGATGAGCCCTGGCCAGTGTAGCTCAGTTGATTGAGCAAGTTTGCCCCCCCCCTTAGGGTTTAATATATATATTTCAGAAAGAAAAGGAGAGGAGATAGAAACATCAATGATGAGAATCATTGATCGGCAGCCTCCTGCAGGCCCCCTACCGGGGATAGAGCCTGAAACCTGGGCATGTGCCCTTGACCAGAATGGAACCTGGGACCCTTCAGTCCACAGGCCAACGTTCTATCCACTGAACCAAACCAGCTAGGGCAGGCAGGTTTGCTTTTTGATAGTAGAGGATCTTAGAACACTTTAGAGCTTTGTAGGTCATAAAGTTAGTGCCAAGAAATCATCCCACAGCAAAGTTTCAACAACCCAGCATTACATTATATATCAGGATATCAATGGAGCCACAAAAAAAAAACACAAAAAAGTGACTCAATGTAACCATCCTCACAGAAGACTGATGCAATTATAATATTTGCCTAACAACTTATTTATTTATGATCAGGATAATGTCCCATAAAATATCCATGTTCCCTCATCCAGAAAAGCCCCTTCCCCTTTGCTAGAAAATAAATAATTCATCAGCAAAGTAGCTTGGTAGGCATGGAGTCTGTCTTGAGGACCACCTGGCTGAGCCATGGTGAGGTCTGACAGAGCACTGCCGTGGTGACCCAACGCATTGCACCGAATGCAGCATTTATCAACCGTTGCATTTTCTAGCTTCTCTTCTCCAGGGTCCTAACTGGGCAGGCCGCTCTGATTCCTATCGTCTATATCTGGTCCACATGACCTATAACTGCTCTAGTTGATGAGATGTACTTGGTCAATTATCATCACAATCCAGTCTGTCTAAAGTTTCACTGGGTTGCCACGAGGGAAATGTGTGTGTGATCCCAAATTGTTCAGGTATCCACTTCCGTCTAGCCCCATCAGTAGCTAATCTCACCCTTCCTGTATGGGTTTCACTAGTTAACCACAGAAACAGCTGGATTTCCCTGATGGTTTAGTTCTTGGTTACCCTCTAAAGATACTATCAGACTTACCAAGGAGGGTGCTCTCTTGGAGCATGGATTTATGACATGCTCCTGAGGTAGGTCATAGTTCGTGGTTTTCTGTGTTTATTTTTAAAAAAATACATTTTATTGATTTTTCACAGCAAGGAAGGAGATAGAGAGAGACATCGATGAGAGAGAATCATCGATTAGCTGCCTCTTGCACACCCCCTACTGGGGATGTGGCCGCAACGTGCCCTCAACCGGAATCGAACCCGGGACCTTTCAGTCCGCAGGCCGACGCTCTATCCACTGAGCCAAACCGGTCCCAGCACTGAGCCAAACCGGTCCCGGCCATGGTTTTCTGTGTTTAAACTGAAGGACAATGTTTGTTTTTTTGTTAATCAAGGCACTCTGTTTGGAGTTTTGAAGACACTACTACAGAATTTTACTTTGTTTTTCTACCTCGGCTTCCATACCTGTGCCTCTCCAGTTTTAGTCTGATTACATGGAAACCCTCTGCTCTCCTTTTCTGCCTGTGTCTGCTTCCGACTGTTACAGTTGCTTCTCAGCCTGTTTTATTATTATTTTTTTTCTTCTTTGAGCCTCAGTGTTAAGGATTCTCTGATAGGGATCGCTCATAAACCCCTCTCTTGCATTCCCCCCTTAATATCTATTATGTACTTTTCTGTCTCCATGTGTGTCTCCTCCTTCCCGTGGATATTGATTTAATCCTGCCCCCTACCCGATGTTGTCTCTGTGATTCCCCACCGTCTCTTCGCCTATTCTTCTATCTCAGTGTACATCCCCGATTCTGACTTTTCCCATCTTCCCCCCCCCCCCCCCCCGGCCTCTGCCTATCAGTCCCTGTCAGTCTGTCTTTGTTCGGCACTGAAGCTGCTTGTCCTTTGTCTTTCTGCCTGTCTCCAACACCACATATCTCCTGCTCTCTTTTTCTGTCAATAAATCTTTCCACTGACTGCCTCCTCCACCTTCCGCTCTTCTGCGTCTCAGCTCCCCTGACAAATCCCCCCCATCTCTTTCCCCCTCTCTCTGCTCTCACTCCGTTCATCTCTCAGCCTGCCACGATTACCCCCATCTCTCCTGAGCCTGGTTGTTCCTCCTTGTCACTCACTCTCACTCAATCACTGCCTAGACTCTCTATGCCTTCCACCCTGGGGGTCCCTTCCTGTCAGCCTTTCTTTATTTTTATTTTTCTCTTTGTTTAGGAGCATTTTACCAAGTCTGCGATCTGGGTTTATCTCAAGCTTCTGTAACAGTTTTTCTCGATATTTCTGCCAAGGATCCTCTGTCCTGCACTTCATTTCCCTTTGCCTCTGTGTCTTCTGTGCGGCGAGTCCTCTTTCTTGCTGTCTTGCCCTCAATCTATGCATGTCTTTCTCTGCATCCGCTTCCTTTAGCTCCGCGTTTTGGCAAGAATTTTTAAAAATCTCCTGTCTCTTGCTTTTGCTCATGTGTCTTTTCTGTGGGTGATTATAGATTATCTCTGGTCCATTGTTTAGTAGACTAGCAACCTTAATCTGCTCAACACTTCCCAGCACCTGGATATTCTGCATGAAGAAGGGAGGGGTCTTATGCAATAGAAAAATAAATAAATAAATGCAGCCTTGGAACCCTGGCCAGTTGGTTAGAGTGTCGTCCTGATATGCCAAGGTTTTAGGTTCGATCCCTGATCAGGGTACATACAAGAAGCAACCACTGGCCAAAACCGGTTTGGCTCAGTGGATAGAGCATTGGCCTGCGGACTGAAAGGTCCCAGGTTCAATTCCCGACAAGGGCATGCACCTTGGTTGTGGGCACATCCCCAGTAGGGAGTGTGCAGGAGGCAGCTGATCGATGATTCTCTTTCATTGATGTTTCTAACTATCACCCTTTTTCTCTGTAAAAAATCAATAAAAATATATATTAAAAAAAGAAGCAACCACTGAATGCATAGATAAGTGGAACAACAAATTGATATATCTCTCTCTCCATCCAAAAAAAAAAAAAAATCAATAAATCAAGACAAAAGAAAAAAATGCCACAGAAGTGGCAGGGGAGAAAGGAGAGATTGCAAATGACTTCATCGCTCTGTAGCCAAAAAGAAGCCTCTCCTAGGCTTCTCCTGCCTGTGCCTCATTCTTCCAGGAAGCCCTGGGCCTAGGAAGACCCTACACTGTGCGCTCAGCATAGGTGTTTGAGTCCCTACGAGAGCTCTGTCCTAAAAGAGAGATCTATTGTCACGTGTACTCCCAGCTCCTGACCTAGTGACATGCCACACAGTGTTCTTGAGCTTGATATGTATGTTTTTCTCATTAAAGGTTCAAAACCAAATTAAATTAAATTAAATAAAAAGAAGAGAGACCTAGCCCCATGTTCATCCCTCTAAAAATGTGTCTTTTCTTTGAGAAGGTCAAGATATTCTAAAGATAAATTTCAAAAAGGCAGATGCTGGACACAGTAGGACTCAGGTGAAGTACAAACACAACAGTAGGGTTTTGAGAATCAGAAATCTCAGCGGCAATCTCTATGCCCCGGGTCTTTGGTCTCTGAGCAGCTGGTATGTCTACATAACTCCTGGCTACAGAGAGCACCTGTTGCGTTCTCCTCCCACTGCCAGAGTTTGGTCATAGGTGAGATCTCTTCCCTCTGCCTTACCCCCTCCCTACCACACCTCTACTCCCCGTGAGACTGCACCTTCCCTCACCTGTCCCTGTGTTAGAGTAAAGGGATTCAGTTTCCTTTGGCAATTAACATGCAGTTGCATGGGTCCTGCCACCCTGTATTGGTAGCACTGGCTGTACCTCTTGAATTAGTTTTCTGGAGAGGACGGTTATCTGATGAGGAAATGCAATGCACAAGAGCTCAGATTCCCAACCATTTCTTTTCGGAGCCTAGGAGTGGGGGAGGGGTATGAATTTGCCGGAAGAGGAACTGAGATGCTGAAAATCCAGTCTAGTCTTTACCCCAATGGGGGTGTCTGTGCATTGTAGACCATCATCTCCTTGTCCTCCAAGACTGGCAGAAGGAGAACCCGAGGCTTCGCCCTAGTCTTTCAGGCCGAGAGGGGAATCCTCCTTGGGGGCAGGCTCACCATCATATGTCCTGGCGACCCTCGCTTCCCTGTGCCCACGGCTGGATGAATGAGACTGAGACCGCAGGACGTCACTGATGAAGATTAGGACCCCCTGTTTGATGCTCAAGGCTCCCACGATGGCCAGCCCGGTGCCACCGAGAACAAGCAGAGCAGGAGGCACCTGGCGGTAGTGCCGGATCAGCCACAGACTCATCCACAGCAGCGGTGCCAGGCGGAAGAGGACCAGGGTGGCCAGGGTGGCCCAGCTGGCCATACTGAAGGCCAAGGAGGGGGCCTGGTGAGAAAGCAGCAGCAGCTTTCTCAGGTGCAGGCAGGCGGAGTTCAGCTCTAGGAGCAGAGACACCAGAGAGAAGCCCACATAGTGGCCGAACAGGACGGCAGTGCCGAGGCAGCTCACTACCTGGGGAGCAAAGGGCCAGAGGTTAGAAGACCGCCCAGGACCTACCACCCATCATGTCCTAATATCCCCGTCCTCCCGGGCATTTTCTGGCATTCTTCCCCCGAAAACACCCCACTTTATGCTGGCCCTATGCCAGGGGCCCAATGGCTTGCAAACCATCTTTCCAGTCTTCTCTGGGGCTGCAGCATCTGCATAGTAACCCCTCCCCCCAAATCTCCCATCCTGGTCTTTCACGCCTCATCCCCACTCCCAATACTGGGAAACCCTCCTTCTCAGAAAAGCTCCGTGTTTAACGTTTCTGCAATGGGCAGGACACCTGTGGGAATGCAAACCCCCGAGGCAGAACTCAGACCCCCAGCTGTGCCAGCAGTCAATCCCCGCCCCTCAATTCAGGAGGGAGCCCGGGGGAGAGAGGAGTGTCAGACTCTCTGCTGGGGAGTAGTGGGACAGAATGCGGATGAGAGATTGGGGTCTGCAGTTGGTACACCTCTCTTCCTGCCTCCCCTCTCCCTGAGTCTCACCGCCAAATGGTGACAGAGAAGCTCCCAGGCCTGGCCCAGGGTCTGGTTCTTCAGCATGTCAAGTCCATCGGCCAGGAAATAACCTACGGGGAAGGGTGGCAGCTGGGGTACAGCCCGGAGAGGACTCTCCAGCCCCTACGTCGGCGGCCAGTCCTTTCGTTCCCCTCAGGAACGCTGACAGGAGAGCCCCCCCCACCCCACCCCCCCCCCCAGCTGGCCAGGCTTCCCTGCAGACTCACCCACAGAGACAGCCACCAGCAGCAAGGTCCAGGGCGGGTGGGTGTGAATGGGGTCGGTGGCCAACTGAGGGTGTAGCAACAGCCTAGAGGAGATGGGGGTGGGGGTGGGGAGCCGCCGTGAGCTTCGTGCAGCCCGGATCCTCCTGTGGGGCACGCCTGTCCGTCCACCCACCCCAGCCTCAGACTCTCAAGGTGCAGCCTCCCTTTGGAAGGTGCGGCCAGGTCTTCTCCCGTTAGCTCCCCGTCCCGCGCCCTCACCCAGGCACCCCCTCCCGAGCCTCTGAGCCCCGCACCCGAGCAGCGCCCCGAACCCGGTGATCAGGCTGTGCACCAGGGAGACAGCGATGTTCCGCCACTTCCAGCGGTCCTGAGCCGTGGCCCCCGGCGCGGGCAGCCGCCGCAGCCCCCAGTGCATGCCCCGGAAGGCGGCGAAGGAGGCGCCGGTCACAAGGAGCCCCGGGGCCCCCATGGCCTGGCGGGCGGGCTAGAGCCGGACCGGTTCCCGGGGCCCCGCGCGCTCGCCCCCGACGCATCCGACGCCCGCTCCGGAGGCGGCGGCCCGCGGCGGGCAGGGCTGGGCTCCTGGGCTCCTGGGCTCCCCGGCCCGCCCGGCCTCAGGGGTCTGCCCGCGGTGACTTTTTCAGGGCTGGTCCGCGACCTCCCGGCCGGACCGTGATTGGAGCAGCCGCGCGCCCCCGCCCCCGGAGCCAAGGCAACCGGCCGCGTCCCGGCCCCGCGACGGGCTGGGGCGGGGGGCTGCCGGGCTGGGCCGGGCAGCGGGACTCAGGGGCCTTTGGGGAGTGGACAGACGTCTTCCCCGACCGCCCGCGTCCGGAACTTTTGAGAGCTCCAGAAGTAGGTCACTAACCTCACCTGACACTCCCGGGGGGCCCCGCCCCACTACCTTTCCCCTAAAGTCTCACCATCGGGTCACCCCTCCCTCCCACCCCCGCGGCCCCGGGGGGGAGAGGCCGGGCAGGCCCGCTGCCACTTGCTTAGACCTCGACTCCCACCCCCTCCCCGCCTCCACTGTGCGGGAGAGGGCGCCGCACTTCCCGGGAGCCAGGCACCCCTTCCGCCTCCGGACGTTTCCAGGCCCACGGCGCAGCCCGGCAACCGCATAGTTCCAGGAGCCCTGCCCTTCCAGAGCACCTCTCGGATGGAACGCCGGCAGCTTCCATTCGGGAGAGGGAGGGGCCCGCTGGGAACTCCGCCCTCGACCTTTTTTGGGTGCCCCATAGTCAGAGGAGTCTCATTATGGGGAAGAGGAGGCAAAGGGGACCGCTCGGCACTGTAGTCCTGAAAAGCATCCCCTCCCCCGAGGCGGTGCCTGGTGGGTGGGTCTCCCCATCGAGGAGGCCGGGAGACGTCAGTCACCTCAAGGGGTGGGCAGAACCACAGAGAAAACGGAGACGCGTTGAGCTTTCGTAGCAAGGCTTGTTAGGATTCCAGAACCTTTCAGCCTGTGAAGGAAGATCTCCCTCCCCAAGCCGTTTCCTGAAGAGTTTGTACTGTTTTCCATCTTACTCCACACCTTGAGCTGGTTGCCAGCCAGAAATCCAGAGCCGTTTCCTGTGCGCGGAACAGGCCCATTCCAGCTACTGCCAGAGAATGAATTTCTTAAGCTGATTAGGAGGCAGCTGATTGATGATTCTGCTCCCACGAATACTCTCACAGCCCTCTTTCCAACCAAAACCCCACTAACCCCAAGGGCCTGGGGACAACCCTTCGTTCTTCCACACCCACCTCTCCAAAAACAATTTTTTTTAAAGTCACACCGATTCTTTTAAATTTTGTTATATGAAAGCCATACACAATTAATGTAGCAAATTTGTAAGTTACAGAAAACATGAAAATTACAATTACTTTATTCCACCACCCAAAGATGAACACTTCGGAGTACAGTATAGCCTCCATCTCTGTTTCATGTATTGTATGCAGGTATATACTTATATTTTAAAAAACAAAATTGAGATCACATGATATACACTTTTTTATAACCTTTTAATTTTTTGTTGTTAATCCTCACCTGAGTCTTTTCTCTATTGATTTTTAGAGTGGAAGAGAGGAAGGGAGGGAGAGGAGAGAGAGATGGATTGGTTGCCTTCTGCAACCCAGGTATGTGCCCTTGACCAGGAATAGAAGCAGAGACCCACTGGTGCAATGTCTGATGCTCCAATTACTGAGCCACTGACCAGGGCTATAACCTTTTAAAATATATATGTATATATATGTGTGTGTGTATAAATATATATATATATATGGTATGTTTAATATATTTTAAAAATCAATAAAATATATTCTTAAAAATGTATTTTATTGATTTTTTTTTTTTTTTTTACTGAGAGGAAAGGAGAGGGATAGTTAGAAACATTGATGAGAGAGAATCATCAATCAGCTGCCTCTTGCACACTCCCTACTGGAGATGTGCCCGCAACCAAGGTACATGCCCTTGATTGGAATCGAACCCGAGACCTTTCAGTCCGCTGGCCGACGCTCTATCCACTGAGCAAAACCCGTTACACCACCTTTTTTAATATTTAAAGGACTTTTTTTTCAGCCAAATATTCTTCATGACTTTTAAAAATATATTTTTATTGATTTCAGAGGGATAGGAACATCATGAAAATTATAAACCAGCTTCCTTCTACACACCCCCTACTGAGGTTCAAGCCTGCAACTCCGGCATGTGCCTTTGACTGGAATTGAACCTGGGACCTTTCAGTCCACAGGCCAACGCCCAATCCACTTAAGCCAAATCGGCTAGGGCTCTTTTACATGGCTGTGTAGTACTCCACCATCTGGATAGATATTGCAAATTTCCTTTGCAGCAGAATGAATTCCCAGACAATTACTTCTCTATTGCAATGCTGGAATGAACATCTTATAACTAATTTTTTTTCCTTAGGCTAAATTCCCAAACATAGGATTACTAGGTCAAAGGCCATAATATGTTTGATACATATTATCAAACTTACATCCAGGAAGGCTGTACCAATTTGTACCCCTATATGCAATGTATGTATTATTTTAGTACTCCTTTGCCAACAACTGAGTCTCATTTTTTGTTATAGCTTGCTATGAGAAAAATGCTTTGGGGGTGGGGTGGGGTGAAGGAGGTCAACGGGGGGAAAAAAGGACATTTGTAATACTTTCAACAACAAAAAAAGAAAAATGGTTATAGCTATATTTGCCTCTCTTTAATTAATAATGAAGTACACATTTGTATTCATGGTTTTATTCATTTGCTTTTATTTTATGAATTTCCTGTGTATGTCCTTTCACAGCTGGCTCTTGTTCCTTGAAGCTGCTGATATGTAAATTACAAGGGGGGAGAGAGGTGGAAGGAGGAGAGGGAAGCCACAAGACACTTTAATATGGCCCCACATCTCTGAAGGAGGCGGAAAGACTGAAGATGCCGGGAAGCTTGTCCTTGCTGGAGGCTGAGTGTCCTCTCTCTTCCTGGGTACTCCTGGCCTTTATGCCCCCCTCTGCAGGGTACCCAGACAGGTCCTGTGCTCTGCAGGCTTTGTCCTTCACTGGTCTTCCGCCTGCCTGTGTTCCCAGGATGCTCCTCTTCATCTCTGCTCCATGATAGGTGAGGATGGCAGAGCCACACACCCAGGGCTGGAAGGAAACACTGTGGCCAGTGGAGCGAGGAGGGGAAGGAAAGATGGAAGCAATGTCCAGGGACAGAGAGATCTTGGTGGAGTGGACTCAGTCTACCCACCCCCTCTACCACAGTCCCACACTCATCCGGTTTAAGCTGTGGAAGAGCTGGGTTCAGTGGTCTACTCTCCCCTAAATCCTTTGAGTTTCTCACAAATGGGTAACAGGACCCAGCTCCTCTTCCCCCCCAAAATAGAACAAACAGCTTCCTGCAGCCCCTGAAGGCAGCCACCTTCTAGGCCAAGGCTGACCCACACCAGAGCCTGAGCCAAAGAGTGCGACTGGATCAGGAACTGGGGATGGCAGATTTACACTGCCTGATACCCCAAAGGGGGGTTGAGTCCCAGAACTCAGCAATCCTGGTTGCTGGAGGGGAGAATTTTCTGCCTGCACAGGCCTGAGTTGAGTTTCACACCCCATCCTGAAAGTGAAGTGAGGAAGAGCAGTGGTAGCCGTTGGGGGCCGCAGTCCTTTCATGGGTGGCAGAGGATGCCTGGGGCCACCTTTGCACCATGAGAAGTCAGCGTGGAGACTGAGCCCCTTTAACCCTCCAACCCCCTACCTCTGGGGTTACCGTCAGGGACGGGGAGAGGGGCACTAGCTTAAGGGAAAAGCTGTTTTATTCCCACCCCAAGCTGAGTCTGCACAGATGGGCTTCTGGTTTCCTCAAGCACACTCCACTGGGTGATCTCTCCGTCTCACAGGCAGGTGGGGAAGCTGAGACCGGATGTCTAAGGGTGCCACATACAGGTCAGTATCCCTGAACCTAGAGTCTGGGCCAGTCTAAGGAAATGCAGGAAAGCTAAGAGCAGGGGTACGGCTACGGAGATGGCAGTTTCAGTATGACCTTCTGGACCTCACCTGGAAAGGCCAGTGGAAAGAATGAGGGATAAAGAAGAAGGGCCAAGAAAGACATCTGGGTAAAGGGATAGACAGGGTTTCTTTTGCTCCACTTCCTCCCACTGTCACACAAAGACTGACTAACGCTGGGCAGCCAGAGACAACTATTCCCTAATTCAGCCAGGGTCTCTCAAATTGTTCTCTCTTGCGGCGCCAGTCAGGGTGAAGGCTCTCCGACTGAGCAAGGTTCCCTTTCCTGAAACATATCACCATCACTCCTGCTGTCCAGACCTTCCCAGCCCCACCCAGTTCTGTCACCTTCCAGATGAGGGGGAAAGCAGCTCCTTCTCCTCCTTCTCCTCCTTGAAGCCAGCGGCAGAGGGCAACAGTTCTTCAACTGGCAGCTTTAGCTGGGTCAGGACATAAAGCTTGCCACTGAAGAACTACTGCGGCTCAGCCAGGTGAGGGTGTGGGAGGTGCCGGCTCCTAGAGGCAAAGGGAAGAAAACGGGAAAGACCTGAGCAGGGCCATGTCACGGGGACACTGTCCATCCGAGTCCAGTCCCAGCAGACACTCAACCTTCTCAGGAAGGGCTCTTAGCCTGGGCCTGCAGGAGCTCAGGGAGAAGCAAGAGGCAGCTCTACACACATTTCCCTCGATCCTCTTCCCAGAACTGCAGAAACCCACCCAGGCTCTGGTCCCCTTTACCCCAGCCACACATGGGCTGGGGGTGGGGAGGCAGCCTACTCAGACTTCGGAACAGTCAGGACCTGGGTCCCTGGATCCGCTCTTCCCTTTTTTCCAAGGTACGAGGTGAGAAATTGTATCTCAGGTCCAGAAAGGAGTTCAGGGATCCGCCCAACTGACTTCTCCCCGGAGAGCCCAGCGGGGAAAAAGTTTTGGGGGCCTGGATGTGGGAAGAGGGAGGAAGGGAGGAGGTCTAGAGTTTGGAAGGTCAGC